GAAACAATCGACTATTGAAACTATTGACTATTGAACAATCTCGACTAGGTATCGAAACTATCGAAACTATTGACTATCGACTATCCGTAGAGTATTATCGTGTTATCAATCATAATTATTTTTTTTTTTTATTTTTTTTTTTTAAATAACCTCAAAATCACAATATTTATATACATTTTGTAATTTTGTATATAGTTATTATTTGTTTAGCTGTTTTTACTGTTTTTACTAGTTTTTCAATTTTATTGTGTTCATTGTTTTTACATTTGTAAAAATGCCGATACCCAAGAAAAATTGTTCCATCGTTTGGAAACATTTTAAAAAGGATCCCAATAATCCAGGAGTTGCTATTTGCACAATTTGTAAAAATACTTACAAAAGGTCTAATGGTACAACAAATTTAATGGATCACCTGAAAAGGAAACATTTTACCATCTTAAACCAAGATATCATTCGTAATGAAAATAACGAGGAGAGCGATGATGATATAAATACAGCTGGTAAATATTAAGATTATACTATTTAAATAATAAATTATTTAGTGCTAGTGACTTAATTAAAATAATATTGTCATTTTAAATTGTTATATAGGAACATCAGCGGGTGGAATTCAAGATGGATCTACTAGCACTTTGATCCCTAGTAGCAACAGGAATTCTATTGTTAGTGTCGAACCATTGCCCAAGAGACAAAAACAGCTTTTGCTATCCAATAGGTAAATTATTAAACATATAACTTATGCAAATGGTTAAGGTATGAAGAAAAATATAAACATTTTGTGTTACTGATGTAGATGCACATTAATTATGAATATAATATAGTAGAAGAGAATTTAAAAAATTTAGTAAAATTTCAAATTTTTAATTACCCTTCTTTTAAAGTATTTAAATTCCAAGTCAAAAGCTCTAAAATGTATATGAAAATGCATTATTTTTTACTTATACACATAATTATTATTTTTTATACATAATTTTTGACTTGGTTATTACTTTATAGAATATATATTGTATAATTAGTGTAGTTAAAATGCAAATAATTATGAATGTGTATTATTTATTTATTTATAAATATATTTTTTTTAATTTTGAATTTTCAGGTTTCATTATCCAACTGGGTTGGAAAAAGCTAATATTAGCTTGGATGCAATTATTCATTAAGATAATGTTTTGGCGTAAAACTTTTTTTCTGCCATAGAAATAACATGTTATAAAATTTTTAGTTTTCAGATTACTCATTGTCCAACTGGTTTGGAAAAAGCTAATATTAGCTTAGATGCAATTATTCATTAAGAGAATATTATTGTTTTAAATTTGTTGTCTGCCATTTAAATTTAATATATTAAAGACCATGTGCAATGTACTTCAAATATAATTGTATAGCTTTTTGGAAGAAGCAACTTAGTATTTAAAAATGAATGTACTTATCTAAGTACTCGGCAAAAAGCATATTATACCAAATTATTTAATTTTTTTAGTAAATTTATACCTTATAATAACAAATAGTACTAATGACTTGAGAATAATCTATTCCAAAAACAATTAATACTAAGTATCCAGCACACGGTTTTTATTTATTAAGAATTTCTTCATAATATGAGCTACCTAACTATGGTATTCACAAAGTTAGCTAACAGGTCCGAGTATTTTTTATCAAGTATTGAATCATAATAGTTGTTATTTTTAAATCTTGAAAATCTTGAATTCATTATTATATGAGTGATTTTTATTCAACTAAAATAAGTAACTGAATATTAAAAATTTTAGATTTTATATAAAAAACCGAATATATTGGTGTTATAAAGATGTGTTTTTTTTTTTACTTTTTTCATATTATATAATGATACCTATCATTGCATTCAAATTTAATACATCCATTAGAGTGACCTACTTTTTGTACGAGGTCCACTAGATACATACTGTACAGCAGAGCGTTATCCACTTGACCATCTTTTTTTTTTTCAATTTAAATTCATCGTTATTAAATTTAAGAATTTTCAAGATTTATCAATAACCAAATAGATATTATCTGGAAGCCTTTTATTTCAACGTCAAATATATCACATCTTTAATAATTTTTAAGATTCGGTGCACCATCAGAAAAACAAGTCACTGCGTTCCACAAAGCTATTGTTAAAATGATAGCTGAAGACCTTCAACCGCTATCAATAGTTGAAAATGCAGGCTTTCGTAGTATGATTGAGCTCTTAGACTCCAGGTAATAATTAAATAATACATTTTTATTGACTTACAATATTACATATTGTGTCTTATCATTACATGTGAAATTTAGATATTATATATTTGTATTATTTATTTATTTATCTAGTCTTAATGAAAACGTTTTACTATATGCATACTGTTATAGTCAAACATAAATAACATTGAGTTATAAATATCTGAATATCCATGTTTGAATAAGGGTTATTAGATATAGGTATAAACTGTAATTTTTCATAAGAGCAATTTTAATAAATAAAATTACCAATAACACCTTTTACTATATTATTATTTCTGTAACCATGTTAATTCCCATATAAATACACATTAAAGCTTTTTTAAGTGCATTAAGTTCAAAGCTCTGATAATAAGTTATAAAACATTTATCTATACAGTAAAATTAGCTTAAAATAAATTTCAGTTATAACTTATATCTACTGTTCCCTTTCATTTTTGTTACCTATTGAATATTGAAATTGTTCTGTTTATTTTGTAAATTATAAAAAATAATGTAAATAAAATTAACTTATATTATAGATATGAAATTCCAAGTAGGAGAGCGCTTGGTAGGACAATCATACCAAATATATTTTCATCTGTACAAAATAAAGTACAAGTTTTGCTTGATAAAGCAGTGGATGTAGCGATCACTACAGATGTATGGACTTCCCTTAACACAGATTCTTATTTAACTTTGACTGTTCATTTTTTAAGTGAAACAGTTTTAAAAACTTTGTTCTTTGCACAAAAAAATTAGAAAGTAACCATACTGGTGTATATTTGTCAGAAATAATGACCAACGAACTACATAACTGGAACATTTTTAATAAAGTTGTGGCAGTGGTTACAGATGGTGGAGCAAATATTAGAGCAGCTGTAAGGCTAATGAACCTATCTCACTTACCATGTATAGCTCACAAATTAAATCTAGTTGTTCAGCAAGCTCTTAAACTATGTGATGACGAAGGAGTCGGTCCTGAGAATGATTCAGATGAAGGTGACTTAAAAAACAGTTTTGAAGAAATGCCGTACCATAGTTGGATTTTTCAAGAGAAGTGAAGTTGGAAATCGAATGTTAGCTGAGAAACAAAAACAACTTGGTAGTCCAATAATCTTAAAGCTTAAACAAGATATACGCACCCGCTGGAACAGTACCTTTTTTATGCTAGAAAGGCTAATAAAATTAAAAGAACCCCTGACCATCGTAATGATTACGTTAAAAGAAGCACCAAGTAATCTTGATTCTGAGGAATGGAATATTATCGAAGATATGATACCTTTGCTTAGACCTTTCAATAATTTGACTGTTGAGCTTTCAGCTGAACAATATCCGACTTTATCTAAAGTTATACCACTGCTACGAGGTAATTCATTTTATAATTCAGCAATTTAATTTTTCTATCTAAAATATAATAATATTAAACTTAATTAATATTTATTTTTTATAGGTTTGCAATGTTCTTTAAATTCAAAGAGTCCAAAAACACGACTTGGAAGTTTTATTAAAGGTAGGCTCTCAGAAAATGTTTCCAGGCGTTTTGATGGAATTGAGAAACAAACTTTAACACCACATTTTTCTCGAGCCACATTACTAGACCCAAGATGCAAGAAGGTTGCGTTTGGGTTGGCACAAAATGCAAATGATGCTGAGGCTAGCTTAGTTGCAGAAACAGCTACTTTAATAAGAAATGTATCTAACACTGGTAAAAATATATAATATATAAATGAATATTGAATAATATATTGAAACTAAGACCTTTTAAATATTATATTAATAATTTCAGAACAAGATACAGTTGAAACTAATACAAATGAAGATGACGACAATATCTGGAATTTTCTTCAATCTAGAATCATTACTGTACAGTCACAAACAACTACGACAAGTAGTGCTACTGCTTTAATGAAGCAGTATCTAAGCATGCCTCATATGGATTTAAAATGTGATGTGCCAGCTTATTGGAACGAGCACAAGTCAATATTAGCTCCATTGAGCAACATTGCTTTAAAATATGCAATAATACCAGCAACCTCGGTGCCGTCAGAAAGAATTTTCTCTAAAGCTGGCCAAATATTAAGTGCCCGGCGCAACAGGCTATTGCCAAAAAATTTGGACACATTAATATTTTTAAATAAAAATATGTAAATATTATTTTAATATTTGTTTAAGAGGGCACTACACCCACATGTGTTGTCCCTGTCTTACTAACGTGCATCATAACAAATTTGTTATGATGTACGTTAGTGTGACAGACAAAACATGCGGGTGTAGTATCCTCTTAATGTTTATGCAAGTTTCAGAACTTATTGCACTAAAAGTAAGAAAAGTAATAACAAAAAGTTTATATGTTAATACTTAATAATGTTGATAATCTTAATAAAGTTGATTTTAATTTATTTTAGTTATGTTTTAGTTATTCATAAGTGATCAAGTACTTATAATGAAACTTTGTATCCATCAAAAAAAGATTTAATAATTTAAATATATTTATTTTCTTATTTTACCTAAAAACAATATTCAAATTTCTTATTATTTAAAAAAACCTGCTTGAAAGTTATAAATCATTCTTGGATACAACATTTTTCTTCTGAGTAGAGTGAAGAAGCTTTTGGTATTATAAAGGTGTGATTCTTTTCTGTCTACATTAATTGTTACTACATTGATATTGGTCTGAATTTAAAATTCAACACCTTTTGTGGGAGAAAATTGGAACGACCATGATTGTACTTTGAATGATTGAATGAATGATTTTAAGTACTTATTTAAAATAAAAATGTTGTGTCTTTGATAATAGGCGTAGCTAAGATTTTAATCAGGAGTGGGCAAGTTAGCAATTTTCTTTTTTTTTGGACCTAAAAAATGTAGATTAGAGTATAGATAT